TGACCATGAGCCAGGCTCAGGTCATACTATATACAAGTCTAGGGTAGTCTTCTTACTCTGAGGACCGATGTCTTCCGAGCGGTCCCCGGGTGTGGACCGCTTCCTCTATGTCGGTCCTGGGTTAGGACCGCTTATCTCTCGTCGGTCCTTCTTATCATCACGTGACTTGTACTATAGTTCTTCCGTTCCGAGTGAGTCCCTGTTGTTCCCGTGATCCTGCAGTACAAATGTCCTGTCCTAGCCGCCCGACGCCCAAGTGGGTCGGTTAACTGTTATCCATGCATAACGGGTCGTAACAATCTCTACCCTCTAATTAGCTAGATTCTACTATATCTATACTAGGTAGTAAGTATAGCATTATTCTAATAAAAGGATGTACGTTATGACCCGAACGAGCTGTCTTACTATGTGTCCTGCTTCCTCAATTTCTGCAAGCCAAAGCCCGGTAGTATTCTTGATTCTCCCACCGTGCACACCCTTGGACGCATTCCACGGCAGCTCTTGCTATGGACTCGCTCTAAAAGGGTTCGGCCAGCCCATCTGACCTTCTTCAGGCCCTCCAAGACACCCTCGGCGTTGCAAATGATATCAGCCACACCAACATATACCAGCACGTCCACAACACCTTGCCATCTCGAACGAATGTAGGTTTGAGAATGGTCGAGAATCTTTTGCAGGTCTTTGATGGCGGGTGTGTAAAAGTCACCAGACTCGAAGTACCGTCTTTCTATTAGTGGGCTCATCATGTCCCAACCTTTCTTTCGACCGCCGGTCTGAGTTGGAACTTCGAGTTGATCCCTGAACACCTTGTCGGAGTTGAGAACGTCAACCATCTTGGCAATGTCCGGATAGCAGTCCCGAGGACCTGGGCAATTGCGAAGACGTCTGTCGTAGTAGCTTCTTGTCACATTGGCAAAAATGCCAATGAAATCGTCTTGGCATAGCTTCTTCGGCTGAGCACAGAGGACTGGATCGTCATCTCCCAATGCGCATGCTCGAGCGACTGCTTCGCATCTGTCAACAGCTTTTAACGCCCTGGCACAGTCTTCAGGGTCCAGGTGAGTATCAAACTGGTCCCGGTACGGAAAACAAGACACATCATACATCGAAACTAGTTGCTCGGCAGGGCTAATCCATGGGTTGCCGAGCATCGACGACCTCAAGGGTATGGTGGCCAGAGCCGCCTTGACATCGGGCGCTGAAGTCAGAAAGTCATTGTACTCAAGTATTGTCGATGCAATTGACGGGATATATCTTCCGGCATATGATTCTCCCGCCAGGTGCAGGTCAGCGTCAGCGAAGTCGGGGAACACCCTCGTAGAAGAGCTTTATGAAGCTGATAATATCGAGAGCAGACTCTTTGGCGCGGGAGGGATATGATGTTTCGTCGGAGTAATCATCCACATAAGAGAACCCGACACCGGCAGGCCGGTCGAGGTAGATGATATTGAAGTGTTCCGTCCACGAATTAGGGTTAAACTCGGTCCCGTTGGCACCATCGCTGAGGCAGGGTCCATTTTCGTAAAGCATGCCATGCAGAGAACTGCCGCCCGGGCCTCCCTGGAACCAAATCATCAAGGGTGCATCTTGCTCATCGTGTCTTGCTTCGTGGAACCCTGCATGCCACGCATCAGTACTTTTGTTTCTGCGAGAGAAAGGTGTGGTAAGACGGACAGAAAAACAGATGGCGTTCACCGATATCTGCCCAATCAGTGTGCTGCCTGGCGCCTGCGTGACAAAGAAGCGCGTCATCAGCCGACCAACTTTTAACGCGTATTGAGTGGTCACTAAACTCCGACACAATCGTCCTGTAGCCTGTTGCAACGGCGCCGACGACATGATTGGTGAGGGCCGCGCAAGCTAAAATGCGCGTAAGCCAGCGTGGGGACGCCATCAAATTCGCAAAAGAACGCGACAGAGTCTGGGGACAGTGCTAGGTATGGACCAAGAAACCGGAGAAACGCTCGCTGGTGACAAATGGAAAATTTGCGCCATCAGACTTTGGTGACACCCTTCACAGGATCATGATGGAATGGCGGAGTGAGTCAACATAAGCAGCTAACGACCACCACATTGTCGCATTTGTATTCCCGAACAGGCAATTTTGAGGGAAGAAGATGGGTGGGGCATGCGGTGCGGGTCGGCCGACCCCGGTCCGTGGCTTGGCCTCAGCAGGACCCGGGAGTCAGGCAACTAACAAGAATTAAAAAGTCTTGCGAAGAGTCACTGTACAAATATGTCGGTAAGATGCCTTGTTTTCCAGTAATTTTTGGCAGGAGGAAAGTTCAGAGTCAGGCCTCAAGTCAACACAAGACCCTCACTTACAGCAAAGCCGTCATGTCAACCAGTCACGCATTGCCGCCGTCACGCCGGGGAAGACGGAATGTCCAGCCGGATCTGATGATCGATCTCAGCCGGAGGGTGGAACAAGATCAATATCATCCGTCAAAGAACCCAAAGGGAATCATTGACCTCGGCTCTGCTGTCAACGAGCTGATGTTGGAAGACATTGCCATCTGGACCAGGTGGAATTTGAAGAAGGGCGAACTGAAAGATGGTAGGCTTCCCAACGAAGAATTATTCGCATTTGGACCGGCATTTGACGATTTCCTTTGGTCGTAGGTCTCGGATACAATGATACCCAAGGCTCCCCCGAGCTCCTTAAAGCCGCCGCCGACTTCATGAACGAGCACTTCAATACCCGCATCCCATTGACTTCGGACAACATCCTTGTAGCAAACGGAGCTACGACATTGCTAGACACATTGACCTACAACATCGCTGATGAGGGTGACTCGATATTGCTTCCAACACCTAGCTACGGCATGTTCGCCCACGATATCTCCACAAGGAACCAAGTGCGGCTTGTCGAAGTCCCATGCGATGACATACCTGATGATCGGTTCACGGGACAACCCACAGGTAATGGTGACGGAGCTCGCCAATGCGAGATTGTGGCCCGTCTGGAAGATGCAATCGAGCGAGAGTTGAGTCAAGGGCGCAAGGTTGCCGGCGTTCTGCTTGCGAACCCAGAGAACCCTTTGGGTCGGTGTTATTCCGCATATGTTCTCTTGCAAATATCGCAACTATGTTCCAAGTACAAAGTGCATCTTGTTGTCGACGAGATATACGCCATGACCGGAGACAACTTTTCAAGCATGTTGAGTCTAGGCCTGGACACGAACTTCAGAAACGTGCACGTCCTGTGGGGGATGAGCAAAGTAAGTTGCGGCGATCTCGCGTTTTGTCCCCACTGCGTGAAGATTGAATCAGCTTTGTCCCCGGTGACGAGGGTGCTAACGACACAAACCGCAGGACTTTGGACTTGGCGGTCTCAGAATTGGGTTCCTTGCCACGTACAACCAGGAGATTCACGATACCATGCGAACTTTAAGGTTAGTCCAGCCAGTCAGTGAGGATACAGATCCTTGCTAACAGTCCCCAGCATGTTTGGCTGGGTCTCATCGTACAGCGCGACGATTGCGGCAAAGCTGCTGTCGGACAAGAAGTACTTCAGAGACCATTACACGCCAACGTTCAACCGCCGACTCAAGAAGAGGCGAATCCTTGTCGAGGGCGAGCTTGAGAAGTATGACATTCCATACATGAGGGCCGACTCAGGGTTCTTCATGTTCGTCGATCTCTCCGACTGGATGGACTTGCTGTTCGCACAACACGGCAAGGATGACGAGTTGGAGCTCTTAGAGCACCTGATGGAGAACGGAGTATTCCTGGAACCCGGAAAGGTACGTCAGCGGAACTTGTCTCCTCTTCAGACGAGATCGGAAACACCCAATGCTGACACGAACTCCGATGCGCGGCAGGCATTCTTCGCCAGAACCCCAGGGTGGTTCCGCCTGAGCTTCGGCGCGGAGAAACACACAGTCAAGACCGGTCTCCAGAGGCTGTTCCGCTGCTTGCGGGCGCTGGACGGGAAACTAGATCCATTGGGCGTTGCAGATCTCACACCGTACCTCCCACCTTACCGCCAAATGGCGCACATAGTCGCCGTGTAAAACCGAGCATGCTAAGTCGGCGTAGATGATTCTCGGTCTCGGCATCCCTCCCGGTGGAACACGGCGAGTTGCTGCGACTCTTGTCAACGGAAGACATATGCCGGGCCTCAGACCTCCCGAGTTGGTGAGATGGCATGACTCAATCGCGGTCATTCCGAGATGCGGGGGTTTCGGGCAGGGCTTCTGCCAGCTGAAGTACAGACCAATCACCTCGTTCTCGCATGATAATTCGAGACAATGCGAATAATGATTGGTGGGAGTGCATGGGGTAGATCGGCAAACTTGTCCAAATTGTCGGGGTTCTGGGCTTTCTGTCTTGGGATTTTTCTGGGTCGTCTGAGGTCTGTCTCCAATGTTCACGTTCGTCCTGTTTTATGTCGATCTCGGAACCAAAGCCGATGCATGGTCTCCGTGTTTGAGCGCATTTATCCATAGTCTTGTCAACAGCGCTAATGTCATGACATATCTTTTTATTCTTTGAGGAACTACACCGGCAATTGTGAATGATGATGTTTGAAGAGACAGTATGATGATTCGATGCAGCCGATATGGCCGTTCGACGCGTTTTCCATCTGCTTGCCATCTGGTGTTTTCGCTCGTCCCATTTCATGATGCAATATGGGGAGGTGACACCTGATGAAATAGAGTTTGTCCTTTCAGACGGTTCTGCTCCGCAACCAACCTCAGTGTTTGACGTTTGAGTCAAGCATGTGTTGTGCACCAGCGCGCTCTCTCGTTAGACAGCAAGGGCCAACTAGTTGACATGACTCGGGGAGAAATATCGTCGACCCAACTCATGCCTTCCGACTTAGACATATCAGACCACAGCCATATATAAGTCGTCAATATTACCATGTTGTGTTCGCTATCGAATTCAGTCTCAAATTATACGTTGTCGTCTGTACTCATCAACATCATCAATCGTTTTCAGCCAAAAGAATATCCCTGCCATCTTCAACCGACATCAACATGCGTTTCTCTCTCGTCGCCGTCTTGCCCTTCCTTGTCTCTGCTGTCGTTGCGCAGCGCGGCATTGGAGGTATGTGGTCCTTGAAGCGGGGGTTTATATGACCTCCTCAACCAATCCCGCGATATGGTCCTGCGTAGGAAGACTAACATTTTATTTCTTGTAGGTGAATGCCGCAATGACGCCGACTGCATTAGATGTCTTAACAACAAGACACCTCTCATCTGCAAGAGTATGTACTATCGTCCAACTTATCTCTAAAGGCTTGAAGTTGCTCACAGGTCTTAGCTGACTCCACGTCCACAACTGGCAAGCGATGTGGCGCTGTTGATCCCCCTTGCCGGCCTTTCTAAGTTCTCGGAGGAGGGAGCTATGTTTTTATAAATCGGCGTTCGGAGATTATTGGATTACCCTCACACGCTAAGACGACGGTTTTGCCATGCTTGGGATAAAAATTTATGAGCGGCATTTCTGAGCTCAACTTTAAATGATAAATGATGGATCACTCCTAAGTCTTCGGCTGACTATTCGTGCGGCATCCTACTGCGGCTGATCTCAAATGATCGGGGCACACTTTTGCCGCTCATCTCGGAACCTAGGTATATCTCATTGACCAATGCTGCCGACTCTATTTTTGGCATTCTATTACGTTGGCTGAGAAACCAACATTCCTTGTGTCCGTATTCTCAAAGTGACTGAGACCCGAGGAAGAAGTGCTCAGCTCGCAGGAAACGAAGCGTCCGCCAGCGAGAAATACATCCCCTATCTGCATCGTTCACTAACGCTACTTAAGGTTTTGTATCACGCGTATTCACGCAAGTCTCCTTTACCGTTCTTGGGGTTACCATTACGCATACATCAATAATCTGCGGGGAGAACTTGTCCCTGAGAAAACCTATTGACAGAAACTCCGCCAACTGGACTATTAGCACCAGTGGTGGAGTTTCTGTCAACAAATTTCATATCTAAGCCATCCACTTGTAAAGAAACACGGATATAGGCCAAGAAACTTGTCCATCATCTGGTCGCACGAACAAGGCCTTCGGGTATCACGACCTCTGGAGGCAAACATCGGGTTCCGTCTTGTGACCCGACGGGCTGTAGACATTTCCATCTGATTCGTTTCTTAGTCTAGTTCGTTGAGACCTTCCTGGCGCGATTCCGGTGTCCTTGGACGGGCCGATGGCTGTCTCTCTGTCTGAGCTCTTCTAGACGCATACGTTTCCCAGACAGACCTACAAGTCATTAGCATTGCGATGTTTATCTTGGCTAATTCGCACAAAAAGCCCTCATGCATCGAGAATAGTAACACACATTGAACTCCGTTAATGGTGCAATCGGCTGGTGCCCAAAGCCAGAAGCCAGATGCTAGGGCTGATGTAAGCATGCGCAACCACCCCAATTCTTCCCTAAATATCACTTTTTCGGGGCCTTTTCTTTCTTTAAGAATAGGAGAATTTTCTTAGTTTTTTTCTAGATTTATAAAATATTCCCCTATGAGACCCTGGCTAAGACAGGCTGTATAGTAGAAGGCGCGCGCATGAAGAGGCTTTTTAATGCTCTGGCCCTGGCCCTGTAGGAGGGCTCGCCAGAGCTAGAAACCCCCCTCTAGCCCCTGTAAGGGCCCTATAGGTATAGGGGCTATAGGGGCTATAGGAGCCCTATGGGCACTGCTTGCCTGGCTGGGCTGGCTGGGCTAGCTGGGCAGTATAGGCAGTATAGGCAGTATAGGCAGTATGGGCAGTATGGGCAGTATAGGTAGTATGGGCAGTATGGGAATGGCCTCTCGGCAGGCTTAAGCTATCTATCTGGAAGCGGGGGTACTTTAAGAGCCGTTACGCCAGTGGCGAAGTCTCGAAAAGCCCTGGTTTCTGGCCCCTGGCACACATCCGATTGCACCATAAAACAAAGCCTCACTTAACTTCCACTTAGGCGCCGGAAACTAAGCGAAAGTTGCGGAATGCGGCGTTGGTGGCTGACGGGACGGACCGCGAGCGGCGTCCGCTTCAAATGCCGAATAGGTGCATCTCGCATTCGCAACACTTTGCTCGACTAAGGGTTCTCAATACCTAGGGCGCATCAAGTCAGGGCGCAAGACCTGGAGAGCGCTGTTCTCATGAGGACCAAAAGCCTGTGTATGTGTAATAAGGACCATCCAGTCGGCATTCGACCTTAGTCCTCCTGCAAATGCAACTTTTAAGACTTGAGAGATAAATCTCGATTGCCTTTGGAAATCCTGACTTCACCAAGGATCAATCCGAGCGTCGGTGCGGACGTATTAGACGAATCACGGATCATGGCTTATGATGACCTGGAAAACCCCAAAGTGGGCCATTTAAACTCGGATGACAGACGTGAACAAGCCTGTTGTTCCACCAGCTTAAACGATGGCTGCATGACGCACGCAATCAACCTTCCTTTCATTGGTCGTGACAGGGAAATGTCATCGTAAATCTCTGGTCAAAGCACGAACACCACCGACAACTCTATCCATCTCCCGGTCGAGATCGGCGGCGGGGCCCACTTGTCGGGCACTCGGACGCCTTTGGCAACTCTCCGAGATACGAATACGGACCCCATCTGCCGACTCCCGTCCGCATCCCTCACGCGCGCCCCGTGGAATCCACGGACGCTAGCCAGACAACCTTACATAACGTTCAGCGATTTTCAGACTTCCCGCCACTGGGGTGCAACAACGGGCGGCACTTCAGTCGGAAGTAGTACCCGCAGTGGAGAAAAAGCTTGGCCCCATCGATACGTAGACGAGGCATAGACGACGCGTGCATGTTCCAACGGTGGAGTTGCTATTCGGGTTCGTTAAAGACTCTGCTAAGAGTCGAGTCGCGGTTTCGGTCTTGGCAAAGTCCGTCATGACGATATTTCATCGCAAAGATGGGAACTATAACACAACCTGTTCGTCCGGCTCGGATTGCTGAACTGTTCAACACCATCAACAGACGACATCAACACACACACTCACAAGAACGTGGAACTCGACCGTGCGATATCGACTGAACACGACCACAACGAGACGAACGCCTTCCTTCGCCACCATGGCTTACCCAGCCCTCGAGTTGGGCCTCGGGTCCTACTCGATCCCATCTCCCAGCGAAAAGCCGATCCCATACCTCGCAACAGTCTTCCTGTTCATCGTGTTGTTTTACGCGATGGGCGATAGCGGCCCGAACCTCCCCGAGATCAACCCTCTGAAGCCTTTCGAATTCACCAATTCACGCCGCATGACTGAATTTGTACAACAGAGCAAGGACATCTTCCTGCGCGCAACAGCAACCTTTGGCAAGAACCCGTACAGACTTTACTCGGAATGGGGCGCCTCTGTTGTTTTGCCGGCCGATTTTATTCACGAGTTGCGCAGCGACCCGCGTCTCGACTTTATCACGCCTGCCAGCGATGTAATACAGCCCACTCGGGAGGAGCGGACGAATGTTAAGGACTAGTTTTCTAACATGGACGCATATAGGACTCTCATGGATACATCCCCGGTTTTGAGCCCTTCGCGGGAAACGATGATTCACCCAAGGTCGTGACCAAGTACTTGACCAAGGCGCTGAGTATGATACTATACCTGTCCTAGTCCGAAAGAGCTTCAAAGCTGACTTGCGTGTCACTTCAGCCAAGCTTACAAAGCCAATCTCCGAAGAAGCCACCATTGTCCTCAAGCAAATTTTCACCGACAAGAAGGGTACGGCCTGAATTCTGGTTTCCGATCGAATGAGAATCCAAAAGCTGACATGGGAAATTAGAATGGCACGAAATGGTCCCCAAGGATGACATCATTCGCGTCGTCTCCCGCATGTCCACCAGAGTTTTCATGGGCGGAGAGCTCTGCCAAGACGACGAGTGGATCAAGGCCTCCTCCGAATACACTGCTGCCGCTTTCGGCGTTGGCTGGGAACTCGGCTACTACCCCAGATGGTCCCGACCTTATGTTCACTGGTTCCTCCCGTCATGCTGGAGAGTCCGAAGGCTCTTGGCGGACTGCCGAAGAATCCTCAAGCCCCATCTCGAGCGCCGTAAGGTTAAGAAGTCCCAAGGTGTCCAGTTTGATGATTCCATCGAGTGGTTTGAGGAAGTCTACAAGAACAGGAAATACGACCCCGCAACTGAACAGGTAATTGGTCACCCTTTCTACAACTGAAAACAAATACTCAACTATCATCAGATCACCCTCTCCCTCGTTGCTATTCACACTACGAGCGACCTCCTTCAAACGGTTTTGATCGACTTAGCCCGCAACCCGGAGCTCATCCAGCCCTTGCGCGACGAACTAGCTCGGGTCTTGCCTGCCGAGGGCTTGAAGAAGACTGCGCTCTACAACTTGAAGCTCATGGACAGCGTCATCAAGGAATCGCAGCGTATGAAGCCCGTCCTTCTCTGTAAGTTCAAATCCCCTGAATGGTGTTTCTTCAGTGATGCTAATCTCGAACTTGAAGCTACCTGGCGCCGGCTTGCAACTGCTGATATTACTCTTTCCAACGGCTTCAAGATCCGCAAGGGCCAGAAGATCATCGCCAACAACACTCACATGTGGGACGAGCAGTGGTACGAGAACGCCAGCAAGTACGACGGTTACCGTTTCCTGAACATGCGCTCTACCGACGAGGAGAAGTACGCACACTTGGTTTCTACAAGCTCAAAGCACCCCGGCTTCGGTCATGGACAGCATGCTTGCCCCGGTCGCTTCTTCGCCGCCAACGAGATCAAGATTGCGCTGGCTCATATTCTGCTCAAGTACGACTGGAAGCTCCCTGAGGGATGCAACCCTCAGCCTGTCCCATTCGGCATGGCTTTGTTGCCAGACCCCACTGTCAAGATGCAAATCCGCAGACGCAAGGAGGAGATCGATTTGGATTCCATCGACTGCTGATTGAACCGCAAGTTAGGTCCTTCCCAGGGCTTTCACCGCACTTTGAGCTTCTTCAGCTTCTCATATACTCTGGCTTGAACTTAGCAGTCGCGAGGTATTCCAGTTTGCATGGCGAAGCAACCCATCATTTCAAGCATCACCACTTATTCCCTTCACCTGTACTTTCTCCTACTCCCCTATGTCAATAGATACAATGCATTTAGACTATGATCATTTCACGTAGAGTTTAACTCCCCTTTCATCCAAGATTGTATCAAGAAAAGTGACTCCTTCGGCTTGTCAGCTGGCACCATATGTCCCGCATCGAGAATTTCTGCGAAGCTGAGGCCATTCTTTTCTTTGAACGAGCCTATTCTTTCGCCATTCAAAGTGTATGATTGAAAGTCCTGTGCTTGGAAAGCGGGCTGGTGACGCCAACGAATGTTGTGAACTAGATTCTTTTCTCCCGCTGAGTTGCAGAACCAATCTTTGTTGCCAGCGTAGACAAGCACCTTGTATTCCTGTCGTTATCTTAGCCTTGGGTTTACAGAAACGATATGGTCTTCCTTACCTGATCTAGCAGCTCTCCGGCCCAGGCGACGGTGTCAAAAGAAACATCTCCTGACTTGTCAAAATGTTGTCCCAGCTCATAGTCAATGATGTTAAATGTGGTATCTTCGGACACCCCAAGCTCCCGTTTTACCGAGGAAGAGTTGAGATATTGCGCGATCCAGTCGGCCTCTTCGTAGCATAGCCCCCCGTCAGGGCAAGGCTTGCGGAAATCGTAAGGGCTCAGGTGCTCGTCGAAGATGAAGTAGACGCTTCGCTTCCTGCAATAGTCTAGCACATTATTACAGACGTCGGCATCGTTATCCATGTCAGTGCAAACCTGCAGCATGCTCTCGCATTGCGGCATATGCGCCTCGATAATGGAGCAAAGACTGTCGTTGTAGACGGAATTGGGCCCTAGACATCCCGTCGGGTAGAACCCAGGCCATTGCAGCTTCTGTGAGAGCTGCACGTTGCCCAGTTCAATTCCCTTCAGGTTTATCTTTGTCTCATTGACATTCGCGGTTGAACGCACGAGTTGCGCCATTGGGGAGGACTGTCTGTGGTGGATCTTTCTTGCAAGTGCTGCAACCCAGGTCCCTCCATACGACTCTCCTATGATGTAGAAGTCTTGGTGCGAATATTGCGGGAAATTTTCCATGAACGCCGTGAGAAAGTTGTACATGTCGGACGTGGCGTCTTCCAAATTGGTCACAGGAGTCTTGGAATATGAGAAGCCAACATTTGATGGTTGACTTTCCAGTCCAATTGATCAGCTTATGCCTTGTCTTCCTAGTGATTTCAGGAACAGTCCATACTCAACAAAAATGACGTTCGCGTTATTGTTCCATGCATATGGATTTGGTCTTGTTGCGTTGGCGCCGTCAATGAGGCAAGGACCAAGTTCTTGAAAGAGACCAAAGGCTACGGAAGAGGCGCCGGGGCCCCCACTCATCCAAAGAATCACAGGATCATTGACAGGATCGCTGCGACTCTCCGCCAACCAGAAAAACAGATGCTTGGTGTCATTATCTATATACTATCAGCTTTGAAGATCTCACGCAAACACTCCAGCTTTACCTACCGAAATCGTAATATCCAACATGGCCTTTGCCGGCGGACGCGCAGACAGGTGCCGGTGGGTCCAGGACTCGAAACGTGCCAGCTGCGCCGATGGCAGGGACCATAGCCAAAACTCCCGAAAGCTTCATGCTTAGGAGCTACTCAAAGACTCCGCGATCTAAACAGTACGTTGAACAAGCGACGATGTAGAATTAGAAACGCAACAGTTTCGATTTCTTGAAGACGTCTATCACGGTGAGCGGGGACTGTGGGCCTCCGCATCCGTTTACCTGATTAGGATATCTGCAGCCATGTCTTTCATGTAAGTCATGTGTTGTCTGGGAGTGCCCACTTGCCAGCTCGAGTCGAGGACCGGGATGTACTGAATGGATGCTGAGGTCACGTCAAGGAGGCTGTTCTTCCGTGCTCTTTACAATCCCAAACATACTTATTCTGAGACAAAACACTCAGGTAGCGGGATTTAGGCACACTCCTGCCATGCGATCTGATCGAGTCGTTGGTTAATTTCAAAGGGAGGCGAACAGTTCAGAGCTCGATGCTCCAGTAACTTCATACAGCACACTATTATCTTTTAGCATCCATTAGTCCTACAACCAGATTCATTAGAATTGCCCAAGCTCATTTGCAGCATAGAGTAGGAGACTAGGAATTCTTCTTTAGGCTTCTAAATATCTAACAGTTACTTAAGCTAAACACCATTACATCCGCGGGCGTGGAAAGTGAAAAGAAAGATTCCAAATGCGACAGTGAACAGGAAAAGAAAAAAAAAAGGTCAAAAGAGCGGATCGAACCTGAAGGCTCTAGCGCCGGATAACCACGAACTCTGTGTCAGCTGGCATACTGGTTCTACCATACTGGGCATATTCACGGCCGCTTATTCCTGGCGCTGTTGTTGCTCGATCCTGACGCAAACCTCCCTACATATCTTTAGGGCCGCCTCACCTTGAGGCAGCGGTTGGTGGGCACGTGACTTCTCAAGGTGACTCCCGCCTCTCACCCAGTGCCTCATTCACCCAGAGCGCCTTTCTCTCAGGCTCGCTGCGCCGGACGCGTTTCAATCAGGAGTTTCTAGAATCTCGTCCCGAAAAAAACTTTTCTCTCACCCTCAGAGAAAAACAAAACAATCCCAAGTTTTCCCATCCTTCCCATTTCTACCTCACCAACTTCATCTCACCACCACAATAACTTGAGATGGCAACACCTTCCAGCTTCACATTGCCAATGCGGCCTGCGCAGCCTAAGCCACAGATGAGTTATGCCCCTTTCAGCCTGTTTCTACTGACTCCTTTCATTGACACTGAAACAGTGCCAACGACAATGGCGACAACAACGACAAGGACACCGATGGCGCTGAGGTCAACGATGACAAGGGCAGCGAAGAGCAGGGTAGCGACGACCAAGACAACGATGGCAAGAGCAGCAATGACCAGAGCAACCAACAAAGCTCTGAGAACCTCGACCTCGCGTCCATGATGACCTCCCTGCCGCGTCGAAACTTTTCAGCGCATCCCAACATCAAACTGCTCCCGGGTCTTGACTTTGATGTTCCCCAAGACGCTCCTTTCGCCAGCCAGCAGCACTCGGGCCTAGTCGCTAAAATGTTTCTTCCTCGTGCCGTCAACCAGCCTGCGTCTCTTGAGGGTTTGATCAATGCCGCCGACCGATTTCGCCAGCTTATGGAGGTTGGTCTGCGAACTTATCAATCCAACCCAAAGCTAGCCAGCGTCAGAAAGGTCTTTGTCCAAGCTCTCAGACAGCTCCGCGGGCTCCACCCCAATTGGAACTTCGATGCCGCCCCGCGCAAGTCGTCTGCCATCATCGACCAAGTCATTACCGCTCGGAAGCGATTCTTGACTAAAGGAGGCGACAAGCCTCAGATCAGGTCGACGTTCTTGCCGTTCCTCCAAGCCATTGATGAGTTCATTGACGGTGCCGAGTCAAAGATCGCTGCTCAACAGGCAGCCAATACCCCTCTCGGTGAGACAGTTTCCCTCAGTACTACAGTAAGAAAGGATCTGCGGAGCTAACCACACCCCAGTACTCCCAGCTCAGGCTGGCCGGAAGCGAACCTCCGACGATCTGGAGGATAAGATTTATAACCTCCCGAAGATGCGCCGAATCACTCCCAGTGAGAACGAGGACGAGGCGGAGGGTTCGGCGAAGACCACTGACGAGGAAGTCGCGTGTTCAAAGTGCAAGGGTCTTGAGGCTGGTTTGAAGGCGGCAAATAAGCGTGCTGAACTTGTCGCTCTCCGCGTTCACGATGGCTGGGTCCACCGTATGCACCAACTCTGGGATGTGGTCCGACCTGCCGTCAACCGCGAGAGAAAGGATCAAGGCAAAGCAGAGTTGGAGTCGGACCAGCTTGTGCGATTCCTGCGCACCTCCAAGCTCGGAGATATTGCCGATGATATTCTCGGTCTGAAGTCGTGAGCTAGCATTCGCATTAGGAGGGTAGGGGGGTCTCTGAAGGAGTATCATCACAGATTTTACGTAGGGTTCATACCACACCAGTCAATTCAAATAATGCAGCTTTGGCAAACTTCTTGCATGTGCAGAAGTCCTTTTGGCTTCAGATTGAAATGCTCAATCTGTCTTCAGAAGGATTGACCAAAATGACGTTTCGACATGAACAGTTTTGACGAGTATGGTAGCGGTAGCTCTCGAACAAGTTGGTACTATCGAAATAGCGCGACTAACTACATGCTCCTTTTTTGAATCGCTCTGAGATCTTAGGATAATTCATCAAAAGCGGCATTTGTAAATTCCCATGAATGTGGACAAATGGACAAAGCTTGCGTGGAAACGTCTGTCCGTGGCGCCTACTAAGGCAGGTCGTCCTGAGCACACATTGATGGCCACAAAGTATCTAGGGTGGCTAGTGCCCGAATTCTCCAACAACCGAGCTGGAATAAGCGGCCGTGAATATGCCCAGGATGGTAGAACCAGTATGCCAGCTGACACAGAGTTCGTGGTTATCCTCTCAAGCACTAGGGTTCGAATCCTAGCGCTAGAACTTTTTTTTTCTGGAAATCTCTTAGGACTTCCCCCCCTCTTAGTCATAGTCATTCTCCTTTGAATTGCCCGGCACGTACCATGTATGAACGCTGCTTACCTACTAATAAGCAGTTTCTCGTTTTGATATCTCAGCTGGTGTTATCGGTAGAACGCCGGAGAGTTGAACCACTCAGATCACAGGCAGGGATTTAGGGCCCGCCTTGGCTAATCTTCGGCGATGCCATGGCCAATCGGACGGTCGCAACCTTCTGCCATTGCGCCTTCCCCACCTCCCGCTTCGAAGCCGCCATTCCTATTTTGGACTATCTCCCAACCGCCGTCATGAGATCGTGGCAGATCCATGTTGGAAATCGGGTCTGCCATGAACCCTTCCGACGACGGCGGGGTTTTCGGGAATCTTTCCATGTCGCGTGAGTAAGTTCTCAAACCATAAGAAGAACAGGAGCTGACCTCCTCAGGAAACCGGATCATGAAAGCATCCTGCTACCCCTCATCTCTTTGATCTTCGGTTTCCAACCTGCTCATCAACCTTGCCTGATTCAGTATGGCATCATCCACCTACCCTGAGCTCGTTTGGCGCCAAACCTCCACCGGGATATGGCAACGCAGCGTCGACGAGATAGAAAAGCACTATGCCATTCTTCCTGTCCTCTACGAGGGCAGCGGCCTCATGTTCTTTGCCATCACCGGCCATGTCTCCCTGACCGTGGATGTCGCCAACGCCGGCTCCTATTCCGACGCCAGCGCCGTGGATGAAGCTCTCAAGAAAGCATGGCTCGCACTCCGTCACGACCATCCCACCATTGCTTCTCAGGTCACCCAAGACCCCACCACCGAGAATTGGACAAAGACCTACCGCCAGTTCCAAGACGAAGCCGACAAAGAGGCCTGGCTCAAGACAACCCTTGTTCCGGTCTCCTCACAACAAACCGGCATCACTTGGGCGAACTCCAACCCCCCGGCTCCCAAGGTCCCAAGTCTCTTTGTCCTCAGCCCACCATCCAACAATGACGGCCTCGTCCGCCGCGACCTCGTCCTTCGCTCGCCCCACGACATCATCGATGGTATCGGCACCCTCACCCTCCTCAACAACCTCATCACCCACGCAGCCAAGGCGTACTCCGAAGGCGATGCCTACAAGCTCCCACCATTCGACGGCTCCGAGGCCGCAAACCTCAGCCCTCCGTTCCGCATCGCCGCCAACGTGCCCCCTTCCCTCACCGATGCCCAGCAGAAGCGTCTGGCCGATATGTCCGCCCAAAAGGCCGCAGCAATGGAGACACCGGGCGTTGAAATTATCGACATGCCCTACCGCTGCGGCGCAGCTGTTCCTCACCGACACCAACGCGTCTTCCGAACCCTGACCGAGACGCAGACCTCGGCCCTCCTCAAAGCCTGCAAGGCCGCCTCCGCAACCCCCACGCACGCCTTCCACGCCGCCATCGCCCTCGTCCTCCGCGACATCCAGCCCCGCGGCCCCGTCTCCAAGCGCGTCCGCTACGTCAACTACATCCTCCGCAACGAGCGCTCAAGCTGCCAGGCACCCTACAGCTCCGCCGAACACCCCGCCGCGCTGTACCACTCCGTCCCAGGCCAGAGTCTCGTCGTCGACATGGACCTCCCCGCCGATGGTCAAGACAACGCCAAGTCCGTCCAGGAAGAGTTCCTGCCCATCGTCCAGCAGATGAAGGACTTCTACCACGGCGTCCGCAACGACAAGGAACACTACGCCCTCGCCACCGACATCTGGGCCGCGATCACGCCCGAGCTGCCCGCTGGCCCCCGGCCCCTCCCCGTCCCGCCGCCCAAGGCTCACCCCTCCGTGTCTATCTCGAGCATGGGACGCGTTGATGGCATTATCGCTCCCAAAAACGGAGCCTTCGAGGCCCATGATCCGTGGGTCACCGGCGAGGAGCTCGGAAACGGGCTGGGTCTGTTCTTGGGCACCTTCCGAGGCGAGCTGTGTCTGAGCGCGGCGTACAATGATGCTTGGCACACTGAAGCAGACATTCTCGACTTCTTGAAGCGATGTGAGGACGTAGTATTCCGTGGATTTGGCATTGACTCTTCTTAGACGGATTTAGAGGAGATACAGGCTGCGACTCGATGGTCACCGGCCGTAGATGCGTTACTATTTAGTGCGAATGACCTTACGAACATCAGACATTTCCCTCAATATACTTGGAAAGATTCTCAAAAACCTAGCAAGCCTCGGCAAACCCACGTGATAGCCTCTATGCGTTCTCCGAGACCTGCATGCTGCCAACCTATCTTCATGCCTAGACCTCGGCACACCTTCCAAGCCCCCTTGGCTAGCCTCGCCTCGCCTCGTCTTTCCCTCCCAGCCAGCAACCCAACTCCCCGGAACAACCGGGCACGGAAGCATTCTAGACCTCTTCTCCCGCATACATGCGCCCGGCACGCCAATCCTGCCGTCCTATGCACCCCCTGAACCTTATCTGCCTGCCCCGAATATTCATGTACATCTCCCCTGCGGGAACTTCGTATGATAGACCAACGCCCATGCCCTGATTCCTGGAGGATTCCGTATATGGACGGTCTCGGCCTGCATGATACTTTTTCCTTTCTTGGATATATCGGTGCCATCCAAAATGTCTGCAGCTCACCGATACCAGGAAGTGTCATGGCTGACTTGAGTGGTTGTGCCGATTACCCATTGCCAGCAGCCGTGAGTAGCCGATGAATCCCAATGGCACTTGTTGCTCAGGCGTTGAAGCCGTTCACATGGAGCATTTGTAGGGCAAATCATCATCGCAGGGTATACATCGTTTCTCACGATTATTTATGGGGGATGATCGTCACAACTACTACTTCTATTACTCGCCCTTCATATTACAATTCTCTGGAAGTGGATTGAGGAACCAGATCCAAATGGTATTCAAGGATAGATTGTGGTATCTAAAGCGCGTTTCGAAAAAGGAAATCCGGCAAGCTTCTCTCTTGGTGACCTGGAGGGGCCGTCACCATCCTGACTGTGGAGTTCAATTCAGTAGAGTTACGTTTCCGAAGTTTTGCAACAGATGTCTAGAAGAATCTGTTCATCATGCGCTTCCAGGTAGGCCAGGACGCAACCTCGGCCTTGTAGGCGTTGATCTCATCCCAGTCAAGCTCACGACGACCGGTGTCAACATCCATTTGATGGGTGCGAAGCCAGCCAGTGCGCTTCCAGGCGAAACCGATGACCCAGAAGACCATGATAACAGGAACAGTGAGCATCGCCTCGAAGAATCCCTCAGCATCGTTGAGCTCATCGTTGTTCTTGGGAGGGGCGATCGCAACGAAGAACTAGGCTAGTGTTAGTAATGCAAGAGGCATAGAAACTTCAATGACAAGAAAGCTTACCTGGGCAATCAAGACGATGATGCAAAGGGCTAGCCCGACCCAAGATCCAGCAACGCCAAATGCCGCCTGGAAGGGGATCTCGTCAACCGTGTGGCCGTGGTACGCCCAAGCCTTGCGGAAGCGAATGTGGGACAAGCAGATAGATCCCCAAGTGAATAGAGCAGCCAGAGCAGACATGTTGAGAAGCCAGTTGAAGACGGTCTCACCGTCAGCATCCAGATTCATGAAAGCAAGGGCACCGCAAAGCAGATGAACAACAACGGATGGCAAGGGGCGACCACCCTTGTCGACATAGCTGAAGATCTTGGGGGCATAGCCTTGTTGCGCAAGAGCAGTGAGGGTACGGGAACCTCCGTAGACGCAGGACACGCCAAGTGACAGAACAGAAACCAGAATGATGCAGTTCATGAAGTGGTCGTACCCGTTCAATCCAGCATGCTTGGCAGCGATGACAAAAGGCGAAGCACCGTCGGCATAAGCGTTTTCAGCACCGAGGAGAGTGGGGTCATCGGCGGGAACAAGCAGACCGACGAAGAAGAGACCCAAGATATAGAAAAGGGTAATACGCCAGAACACCTGCTTGATGGCGCCAGGAAGAGACTTTAGCGGGTTGGCAGACTCAGCAGCAGCCAATCCAACAAGCTCGGTACCGGCAAAAGAGAACGCAGCAGTGACAAACACGCCGCAGAAGCCCTTGAATCCGTTTTGGAAAGCACCCGGGTCGTACCAGTACCGAGCTCCCCAGTATTCGTTGTAGCGGCCGTTGGAAGGGCCACCTCCCAGGACAAGGATGAATGCAACGATCATGAAAATACCTGCAAGTCTATTAGAATCATCGTAGTCGGTGGGGATTGCAATCGACTCACAAATCGCACTGAGCTTGAGAAGGGAGGACCAAAACTCCTCTTCGGCATATCCTAAAGTTCCGAAGACGTTGATGAAGATGATGGCGACCCAGAAGACGGTAATCCAAACCGCTAAACTGACTTCTCTGGCGCCTTCCCAGTAATTGATAGTTAAGCCGCAAACAGTCAGTTCGAGAGGCAAGACAATGGCCCACTAGTCGCTGTCAGCTTGGGTTTGCGCAGTCATTCGGCGGACGTTCTGACCTGAAATACGTAATTCCAACCCATAGCAAATCCCCAAGAGGGGTCGATGAAGCGGGATGAGTAGATGTAGAAACCGCCGGACACGGGGTACATGACAGCGAGTTCACCAAGAGCGTAGACGACGTTGAACATCATGACACCAATAATCATGAAGTCAATCAGAACAGATCCAGGTCCCTTCAAGAGGTCAGTACTAAGTAGGTCATGATCGGGGGCATGCAAAGACTGACACCAGTGCTAAGAGCACCTCCGGAACCGACGAAGAAACCAGCACCAATGGAGCCGCCTGTCAGAAAGTCAAGTCAGAAGTTGCTTTATAGCCTTCATTCGCCAACGAAACGTACCAATAGCAATCATGTGAAGATGACGCGACTTCATGGTACGGTCAAGCTCAACGATGCCGCGGCCGTAGTCGCGGGGCTTGAACGACTCAAAGTTGAGGCCATTACGCGTGTAAAAGTTCTCGTCACGTTGAGCCGCTCCATGGCTCAGAGCGCCTTCGCCATATGCAGTGGCAGCCTTGCCACTAACAGGGGGAAGGCCACCGCTGGGGGTTCCAGTATGGACCTGGGTGGTCTCGGGCGTCGAGACGCCATCGTGAATGTCTTTCTCGGCCGCCATGTTATTGATTCGCACTGGGCGATTATCCGTCCTCAGCGAAGGAAAGGGTAGGGCCCTTGGGCGCAGTTGCTCGGAAAGGAGGCGACGGGCCTGTGGAGAATGACAGGTGAAGCACAAGGGTAGGAGAAGAGCAAGCTCGCTGAGAGTTGAGGGGGGGGACGCGGTCGGATTAAAAGGACGAGAGGGCGATCGGTGGAGGACGCGACGGCAGCAGCTACAAATGCGACGGTCACTCTGGCCCTTCCCAGCTCCTTGCCCTCGTTGCCTTAGCACATCTTAGCATGCATCCATATCCGTGTTGGTACCTTGGCCTCGCACCCTACCCGGTGTCTCCTTGTCATGCCGAGCGATTACATGTATCCATGACTATCAGCGGCGAAGAGCTGGCAGGCATGCGGAGGGGAGCAAGGTTATGGAGAGGCAACGAAGCAGCGGTAACCAACGAGTCAAAGAGCTGCAAGAGTCGACATCCGGACCCAGGCGAGTAAGATGGATGTTTGCCAAGCGGCAGAGGAAGGCCAAGTCTTGGGGAAGTGGAGTGAAGCAGACGGGAGGCCGGACGAGAACAGAAGGTGGATTTGGAGAGTTCAGGGAAGTGTCGCAAGACCCCATGTTGATCGGAGGAGGGACTCGAGGCATGGGCTGCCTACGGATAGGTAGCCAAGCATGTTGAATAGATACCGAATAACCAAGACAAATGAGAGTGAGTGATAGGATTGGAGGACGTGGGCGTGAGTCGAGGAGTCGGCATGGGTGTGGACGTCGATATGACATGGCCCGTGGCCACGGGCATGCCAGAGACCGCGGCAGCAAATGGCGTACAGGAGAGCCACAGAGATCAGATGTTCTTGAGGGGAGAAGAGGCCGTTGTGAGGGCTACACGGGAGGTAGCGTCGTGTATTTTGTGCGTAGCTGACCATTATCAGCGGAGCCCGCCCGGACTGATGCATGGAAGGACGTGAGGACGTTCCGCGCCTTCTAGGGGCGGCGGGGGGCGATCTTGGCGGGGAAATATGGGTCCCGTTGGAGGGTGTGGTACAGTGTACCTTACGTACCGGCGATGGGAAAGGGAAAGAGCACCTAACGCACCTGACGGGATAAGGCAGGAAGGAAAGGAGGAAGGATGAGTGTGACCAGAAGCCGTAAGGACTTGTTGGAAGGTGCTCTTACCTCAGGACGGAAGGTATTGCTCGTAACACGGTTATCGCAACTGCTCACACTCAGTAATGCTGTCTTGTCACACCCGACAGAGAAGGAGCGGACCCTGCACCTGCATCTGCGGCGCCTGCTCCAACTGCCCTGCCCGCCCGCCCCGTCCTCCTTCCTTTCCAGCGCACCGCCGTACTACTCCCGCTTCGTCTTAGCGGACAGGTGCCTTCCAACTCCCGTCCCGAGCTCCTCCCCAGGCACCCTCCCCTGGCGACATTCTCACTCTTTTTTTTTTTTTTTTCGACGTGACACGATTGCCCACCAGACATTCCTTGCTCGCGACATTTTCTAGTTTCTTTTGCGCTTCACACGAGTTCCCTCTCAACCTAATCCCGGAGAGAAAGAAACATGTACCACCTCGGCCAGTCCAAACGAGGCCAATTACAACGGGTCAGCGGTCTCGAGCGCCCCCAAACGGCCACCCTACAGCCAAACCGGTGGCACCAGCACAGATGGGGGATGGGCGGACGGATTGATCGATTCAACAACAGGTGACGGCTGCCCACCTAACGTCCTCCATGAATGGATGCAATTTGCGGTTTGCAGACTCTTTGCGCTGCCCAGCCCTTGGCCTTTCAAAAAGTCCTCCACGCAGCCAGTGAGCTTCCAATCTGCCCCGAAGCACTCGCTCACGCGATTACGTATTCGCAAATTGAAGCCACCGACTTGCAGACCCCTGGTCTCTACAGAGTACGCGACCGCTACCTCAACAAGACTCGCCTGCTTCCAACGCCATTGAGCCCCCAAGCGAGAAACAAAACCCAGTTCCCTCCACAAAATTACGACATCTCACTCGCCGGCCCAGAAATGCCAACCCTCGCCAACCCTTTGGCAAATTTTGGCATCTTTTATCGACTCTTCATCAGTGGTACCAAGCTCTCGCCAAGTTGCTTTATCGGTGTTGGCACCCTCGCCACAGCCAGATAACGCCCCTTCAGACTTCTGCCAAACGATCTATGGGCACCTTTCCCGCCGCAACCTGCGAATGCCAGCGACCCGAAGAATCCCTCCCCCAAGACACCAAGACGCCGGCCAGCATGACCAAGACGATTCAACGGTGGGCCGTACCACCATACGACCCTTTCCTCCTCGCTGGATGTACGCTCCCGCCATCTGTCACCTGTCGATTGTCCCTTCTTCAACAGTAAGCGACGAGACTCGCCTATCTCTTAGCTTCAATTTCACATATCGCATCGCCCTTCTGGACTCCTTCCACCTTCTATAATTGAGAGCTGCGCCGCACCGTTGCCTTGGAACTTCCCATGGGCGAGCCTTCTCGGGGAGGTGTCGTTGTCTCGGCATGCCAGCCATGTCGCAAGAGGCTGATTCCCCCCGCACCCGGGATCACCGCCCAGCTCACCCGTACGGCCGCCCTAGGTAGCAGTCTACCTGCTGACTTCCGCCCAACGAACACGCCATCTCCCACAACTACCACCCCGGAGCCGTCAGTTGCTGCTTTGGAAGGCTGGCACGCGAGGAGATTTGCGTGGGCAATGGCACGAAGTCCTCGAAGCCCCTCCCGACGGCTGCCGCAGCCACGTCGGGCTGGCGAACAAGGCTTGTCGACGTCCTCGCATCTGTCGGCTTTGTGTCCCGCCTAATGCGAAGTTCCTCTGTGAATGACTGCTACTTAAAGAATATTTCTTTCCACCGAGCAGAGCAGACAGCAACATTCGTTAGGCGAGTGACACAAGTGCGCGCTGTCATCAAAGCCGGGCGCTGCTCATCCAACTAGCCCACGGCGTTGACTTCGATTTTGGAAGTAGTGCCGAAAGGAGGGAGACATCACACTGGCTGAGAGCAGCGCTGGAACGCGCGAATGCAGGCCACCTTGCATCCTTCGGGGAGCCCTGACCTGCAACCACCATGTCCCATTTCCCTCCGATTGGTCGCTGAAGCGCAGTTCCACATCGTTCGCACCACACCTTGTTCAGCGGGGCCCAAACACTGATCATTTCGGCCAGTCACAGTCGAACGATACGACGGAACTAATGAAGATGACTGACACAGGGCTTGAAGCTGAGAGATTCTGACCGAAGGTGCTCCGTTGCTAACCAATTTCAAAGTCAGCCTGATAAGGTAAGGCAAGCAGCTGAGACTCGGATGTGTTAATGGACCGCGGGAAAGGATGGGTTCCGCCACCAGGGGCTCCCGTCACCTTATTCTAACGCCAAGCCATCACTCGCTCCTGCTGAATGGGAGCATGATGAGCCGCAATGACGGGCATGGATGAAGACCGATTGCCTCTTTGTGTGATCAGTGACAATGAAACCATTTTCCTGCAATGAATATAAAATGTGATGGTCGGGGGTCTTCTAACCGCCTCGGCGGAAGGGCTCTTGAATACCTAGTGTTGATGAGGAAGTGCGACGGGTTAGATTGGGAGGGAGCATTGGTTTGGTACAGAAATGCCGACCGGGCCACCATACCACCCAAGCAACCAGCAATAAAGGTCTTGTGGACAAGGAGTGATCCCCAGACTCATCGATTGTTACAAGTCTACTGTCCGGGGATTTCTAATTCGGGCCCCGAGCATGACCGCACTGCAAGGCAAAGTGGCCAAATCGCCGCCATATCCACAACATTGTGGAAAAGTGCTGTCATCCGAACCCATTGCGAGATCTTGACAGATGCAAGCCCCACGCACAACAATCCACCTGTCTGGAAGCGACAAAAAGTTTAATCTGACCTCAATTTCTCATTTCACGGGGGTGCTATATCTAGATCCTAATAAAGCCCGTAGGTCAGGGTCCATCGGAGCCGATTCGTGGTGTGCATAGCTAAGCAACCCGACCATTGGATGGCTTTTTTCAGCAGTATTTCGGAAATTGTGAGCGGATAAAGCTGGGAAAAGTATTTCGTGATCCTCACAGCTCTCATGGCGTCTTGAACATTGGGTATAGATGTTTAGGGACATGACCCGGAGGGTGCTCGTAAAGGTCGCTGACCATGGGTAATACTAGAGTCGAATTGAAGCAGTGGTTGTTCCCACGACGAATAGTGTGAAAGGGCAAATTCTGACAGAGTTTTCTCTGTCCGGAAGGAACAGGCTAAAACAGACCTAGGAACGACAGGTCGAGAAGAGAAAGTCAGTGGGTTACGAAGTAAAATGCTACGGTCATAGAACCATGGAATCGAAAACAACATGACAGTTGGGCAGGACAGCATCATACGAACAATTCGAGAGTGTGGGCAAGCCGCTATTGAATTAAGTTATGTGTCAAGCTAAGGCACAATCTCTTCCATCGCCAGATGCCAGATCTGCAGAACACACTACTAGGGTCGTTCCGATGGAAGTTTTCTTGACCTTGCCTCCCTTGGATTACTCCTTTCAGGAACGCACGAGTCTGCCCATCTCGAGCCAACTATTCTTGCGCATTCTCGCAGCTTGGTTGTCGAAGTTGATTCGTCCCTGATTCTCGTCCACAATCCTGAATCCCACTTCAACGTCATCGGACCAGTCTGCCGTGATACGACGATCCTTGTGTCCCTTTGCTCCATCCCTCAGTTCCTTGACCAAATTCCGGAGTTTCCAGCCGCGACGACCCTCCGTCGAAAACTCTCTCTTCGAGAAGGGGTCTCGATCCACGCACATGCCCTTCTCCTTCAGCTCTTTCCCGATACCCAGCAGCCTGCGTGAGATGTCTACGACGCGACACATAGTCCCGTTGATGACGCGTTGATCCGTCCACAACATCTCAAGCAGGCAGAACCAAAACGCATCGTCGTATATGGCGCGTGAGAGGACATTGGCCTGATTGTCCCGATGTCGGTTGTCCCAGAAACAGGAT